ATTATTATTATTATTATTATTATTATTATTATTATTATTATTATTATTATTATTATTATTATTATTATTATTATTATGATTATTATTTATAAAAAACAAAATTTTTGATGTTTTGTTTTCTTTACATTATGACAATGAAAAAACAAGAATACCGCGATTTCAAGGTCAAGGAGAATTCACATTACAAGGTGAAGCTGAACTCTCATCTATGACCGTAAAAAAAGCGTGGTCTCGACCTCCGATCTCGATGGAATTCCAAGTATTAATGTTTACCTCGTCGGGACTGCTCGTTCGGTTCTTGAAAGTGTTTGAAAAGAGCAATTATCAAAGTGTAAAGTGGGTTAGATATATGACCAAAGCAGGGAGTTATCAAATACGGGTGTGTTTCATTTTTCTATAAGTTTTTGGATTACGATTATTGCTTTATTATATTTATATTAATTTACTTGCTCATTTGATTTTGTAGTTTTGAATTTTTCTATTTATCTTTAGACTGAATTTTGGAATTGATGTTTCCAATTGTATATTAATAATGACTAGATTCACAATTATTTATTTTTTTATTTAATATAATTCTTTGTCTACATAGATTAAAAAATTTATTCTGGCAATATTCAATTCATCTCAAAATATATTAAAATTGATTTTTCAACAGATTATTATGTGCAAACAAGAGCAGATTCATTAACAAGTTTTCCTACCCGACTTATTAAAGTTCAAAGATGCATGAATTTATTTGTACAATGATGAATTTGTTTTGGAATATGATGACAAATCTTTTTCCACCTCACTTTTTCTTTCTATCTATATCACAACAATTAATAGAATAATATAAACAGGTATTATAGAAGGATAGATTAAATATTACTATCAAAATTATCATAAATTAATTCAAAACGACATCATTACTTCATTAGCATCGTCTTGACTGGGCGGAAAGACTGATTGCTGCTGTTCTTGCTCTTCACCGTATTCCGTAAGAGACAATACTCTGGTATTACTAGCATTTGTATAACTATGACCACTTATTGGTGCTTTAAAGGACCCAGTATCCTGTGCTGCGACGGCCTTCAATTGCTCTTGAGTAGTGATAATGGTCTTTCGTAGATTCAATCTCTCAACGTACAATTGATTTCTCTGAATTTCAAGTTCCCGCTTTTCTTCTTCCAAAATTTCTTCTAACTCTTCAAATTGTTGAAGTTTGAGTTCCATTTTTTTGAGCTGTGATTCGATTACCGTATTTACAAGCCGCTGGATTTCTCGCTCTTCATATTCTGCAAGAGCTTTGGCTTTGACTGCGGCAGTTCCTAAAGCAGTCGCGGCAACTTTTTCAAGTGTACTAATGTTGTTATTATTATTAATATTAATGTTAATATTAATATTATTAGCATCATTAGCATTATTGTTATTGTTATCATTGTTATTATTATCATTATCATTATCATTATCATTATCGTTATTGTTATTGGTATTGGTATTATTATCAATTTCCGTTTTATCATTTTCTGTTGAATTGGTTTCAGCTTGAGCAGATGATGATAGCTTTGGTTCTGTATCCATCGTTTCTTCTTGTTTGATTTCAACATTAGCATCATTTTCAGATGCTTGTTCTCCAGCATTAGCAGCAGTAGTACCATTTACGCTATTCTTCTCTTTATTAATTGCTTTACTCCGTGACGCTTTGAATTCAGTTATTGATGAATTTGCGGCAGCAGCAGCAACACCAGGACTCACAACTGATGCTAAAAAAGCAACAACCGACATGATAGGATTGTCAGCTTGACTAAACGGTATTCTATGATACTGTAATGGACCTAAATCTTGCATAGTCGTTCCTAAATAAGGATCTTCAATGGGGAGTTGTAGGAATTGCAGAATGCACTGTTCTCTGGTACGAGTTCCAACGTATTCTGCTATTTGATTCCAATCATCCTCAAACATTTCCAATGCTTCCAAAAGTTTAAAGGTTTCTTGGTCAGACCAGTCACTTTCTTGTGCATGATTGAAGGGGGTATCGTCCATCTTTATAAAATCTCCGCTGTTCATCGTTACAGGAAATCGTCCTTCGAGGTAACAATTGGCACATAGTTCTAAAGTCTTTGTTTTTGTATTATGATACCTTGTACGCGAGCATTCGACTCCACACGTAAAGCAATTATACCGCCTCTTTGTGTCTGGCGATGCAGGGTCAGTAGGAGCAGTTGTTTTTCCATTTTCTTGAACTTCTGTCTCTTCAGACTTGATATTAGATTGATAAATATTTTTCCGAAGACCAAGATTTAATTCTACTTTGGCAGGCCCTGAGGAAGCAACAGCAGCAGTAGCAGAGATTGATTTAGAGGTTGATGCTTCGGCTATCTGTGGATTCATCGGAGTAGAAGGAATAGCACTTGGTTGAAAAGGTTGAAGACCTCTTGGGGTGTCAGCAGTGATTCTGTAGTGCCCAGTGAAGGTTGGCCCAACAGTAGATGGCCGAGTTTCTGGATCAACCTTAAAAATCGAAGGTATTGGAATTTAGTACAAATTTTTTTTTTAATTTAACAAATAATGCAATTTATATAGACCTGATAATTTATCAACCCCCATTGTTCGAGAAATGCATGGACTCGAATTATAGCACAAACATCTCCGGCCAAATTTCTTCTGCAAGCTGTGACCGTCAAATATTCAGAAGGATTAAGCCGATATGTGTTAATTATAAAATCGCGATAATCTTTATAGATACTTGGAGTTTTAGACTTATTTTTACTGTTGAAAAATTCTGGCAAAGACTTTCTTTCAATTTCATGAATTTTCGCTATATCAAACCATGCAGCATACGATGGAATAATAACTTCCTGAGTTTGTGTAGATAAGTATTTTCGTGCCTCTTCCTCAATACGTTTTTTTTCTTCTTCTGCATGAGCGGCAATTATTTCAGGATCTACTCCACCACCACTTGCTGTTTCACCTGCTGACACATTTTCGGGGATGCTCTCATCAATGATTTTACTATCAACTGGACTATCAATATTTTCGGCTTCCTCCTCTTCTTTCATGATAGCAGGAGAGTCAAATCCTGCCTCATCGGCCACTGTATCATTTTGTTCTTGTTCGGACATTTCAACCTCTGCAATTTCTTGTTTATTACATGTCATAATGCGGATAAACATCAATTTAGTTATATTATTAAACCAATTAATTAAAAGATCACGATAATAAATATACGCTGATATCTTACTGTTGACCGGAGATTTATGAGTAGCTTTAGTTTCATTTTTTTGATTTTCAATTTCTGCAGAGACTCCCGTTATTTCCACCTTGGAACTAATTGACAGTGGTTGTTCTTCAGCCACTTTAGGTAAATTTGGAATAGCTTGGGATATATTTGTGATATCTGTAGTCTGTAATGGTTCATATTCACTTTTCTTTGGGCGAAAACTAGCATTCGATCCGTTTCCTTCAACATCAATAACAGACACTCTGTGATGTTTTGGGGATGGATCAGGATCCGGAGACTTCATTCGTAATCGTTTTGTAAAACCACTATGTGAATCGATATCCATGAAAGAAGGTGAATCAGAATAATCATAAGTACGTTTATGGAGTGGTGAAGTTTCAGAATCGGATATGTAAGATTGATCCTCCCCGGCGGAAAGTCTTCTATCTTCGGTAATTTCGTAATCTTCTTCGTTCATCCATTCATTAAATTTTTTACTATCTCTGAGCCAACGAGCGCCTACATTCCACGAGCCATTATGTTCTGGCGCTGGTTCAGGATCCGCATGTTCAGCTGTTTCCACCATCCATGTATCGTAAGAATCGGGATAATACCACCAATGCAACAATACTTTTCCATTCTTCTTTTCTAGCGTTCTAAACCATTCTTCGTCAGAATCATCAGGATCATTTGTTAAATGTACAATATGTGTTGCTTCTTTTTCAGAATCGGTAAAATCAGCTGTTTTGTTGTTTGTTGTGATTCAAGAAAGAAAAATAATTACTTTTTTGAACTTAGAATTGATCGCTAAAATAAATTTCTAAAAAGAGAAATGTGTAAATCATATCCTCGTTGTGTAACCAGAATTTATTTTCTGTTTATTACCTCCTAACGACCTTCCCACCCGTCTTAAATCATGAAGAGAATCTCTGTCAACGCTATCACCAAACAAAATTACCGGATTCTTGATTATTCCTTTCTTTATTAACTCATTTCGCACAGAGCGCACCATTTCAACCATAGCTTCAATCCGTGTCCAATCCCAATTTCTCAGTTTTTTTACACCTCGAAAATTATACGCCGCAACAATTATATGATAGACAGGCGAATTTGTAGTCGGAGGGGGTTCTAATTTGAATAATTTTAAGGGGATTTTTACACATGTTGCTGTTGATGAAGCTAAAGTTGCTGCTGCTGCTGTTGTTGTAGTATTGCTATTGTTATTGTTATTGGAAGATCCTATTCCCAAAGATATTTGTTGAAACTCCAGAAAATTCCCTAAAAATAAAGAAAGTTCTCTTGATGTCACAGCAGCAACTTCAGGATATTTCGTTGAAAGTTCATTAATCAAGCCCTGTTTAAGTGGCTCAAACAACGCGAACGTGGATGAACGCTCGTAAAAAGCCATGTCGATTTTTGGTGGTGCATGACGAAGCTGGATTGACGATGACGTTTGATTTGACAGTTGTGCTGCTGCCATATTTGTTATTATGAGGTTTAAAGTATAGTTTGACTATTTGAATTCTTTATTTAAGGATAAATTTCGAGCGCGCGACTTTTTTGCCAGACGAGTTTATCTCTAAACTTTTTCCTGTTACTCTGGTGAGTTGTTTGGTAGTCATTTTTTATTATGACCAATCAAATGCTGTATTCGGTTACTATGCTGAATCATGTGATTTTTTCAAATATGAAATCTGAAAAAAATAATGTACATCCACTCACTTATTTAAATAATTTTTATCGTTTATATATTACATTGTGATAAAGCAGCGATATCAGAATTTCATTGATAAATATAATTTGTAAAATAACCTATTTCATACATATTATGCTAGACATACTAGACTAGTGATTGTGTTTTCCAAACCTTTGCGGTCCCATCTACACTCGTAGAAATCATAACTGGCTGCTTCGGATTATAAGCGACACAAGTGACTACACTTCCATGTGCTTGGTTTATTGTTGATAACAATTTACCCTATAAAGAATTTTAGATGTTTTTAAAATATTTCTAACACAACAAAATATAAATGTAAAAAACAAATACCTCTAATAAATCCCATATATAAATATTTCCATCCTCTGATCCACTAATCACATGCATGTCATAATTCGATAAGCATGATTGTATTTTGTATTGTGTGTTTTTGTGTCCTTTGAAACTATTAGAAAAAATTAAATTTATTTACACCATAAATAAAGAAAAAAATTATTTTTTACCTATTCAACAATCCACCATTATCTTTATCCATCAATCGAATAGTATCATCCAAAGAACTAGCAAGCACACAATTACCATCTCCAGAAAAACAAACAGAGGTAATTGGCTCTATTTTTCCGATTTTTTTGTTATTATTTTTAAAATATAATAATAATTAACTCAACAGATTAAATAATTCAAGTGTCTACGTGAAATTAGATCAGTCAAAAGTGCACCCGCTCGAAGATCATATCTTCGTATATTGCCATCAACAGATCTACAATATGTAAATGAAAATTAGAGTGATAAAAATCGTTTTAAACCATTTAACTGGTCAAACTAAATAACTTACTAACCCTGTAATAATCTCATAATCTGATACTTGCAAAGAAGCAACACTGTCTTTTGCTTCTTCCAATATCTGTATCGGATACCGTGAATTTCCCCTAAGATAAAATTAATAACATAATCAATATGAGAATTAATTTTGCTTTAAATAAATTATTTTGAATAAAAAGATAATACCTGCAATCCCATATACGAACAGTCGAATCATATGAACCTTTTATTGTTATTAAAAAAGAAAATCCCGTTTTTATGATAGAAATGAGATAAGTTTGAGGATTTACTTACCACTTACAACCACTGTTCCGTCTCGGTTAAAATCTACAGCGTTGATTCGCTTCCAATTTAAACGATTATTCGTTTAGAAAGAAAATAGGAAAATGAAGCGACAAACTAATTAATTTATCATACATGTTGATGTCCTTCAAAACGCCTTATTGTTCTTGCTGTTGTCACATCAAATAAAAATACTTGTCGGTCACCACCACAAGAAACAAATTTTGAATGATCTCGTGTTCTAAAAAACGAACGAAATCAAAAATCAAGACCTAATAAGGTTTCTATTTGGCCAATTTGTATTTACACAATAGACCTCTCTAAGTCGAACCCTCCCATAAGACGAAACCTCTTTATATCGACAAAATTTGGCTGCACAAAATATATAGGTGTATAAAGAAAAAAACCTCTTTAAATCAAAAACGACTTAGAGAGGTTTACTATGTACCAAAGTTGTAAAAATATTTTAATTTAATATAATTATACATGGAGGCACCCAAAACTTCTTTTCCGTGACCTTCGTAAGTTTTTATCACGAGACCAGTCTCAGGATTCCATAATTTCAAAGTACGATCTTGACCTCCAGTAAGAACATATTCGCCTGAAGAATCATAGCGCACAACATGCACAGGCCCAATGTGACTTTTGAATACATGAAAATTTTTGGTTGGTAATTCGGTGGAAGACATATTGAATAATAAAAATAATAAACAATGAACAAATTTTTGATTAGATAATAGACGATCACTTTTAAGGTACACCACCCAGTAAAATTATACTAGGCAAAAGATAAAAATTTCTACTTTCATCAAAAACATGGCGTTTTTACTGGGACGTACGTCTCAAAGTTTCCTTTATACACTATGTAGAGTCGGTCTCACGCATTCTGGCGTCTGCGTATTATTTTCGAAAAAACTCTACATACGACCTCAAAAGCTGTTGAACTTGCACTTTAAAGACCAGAGTTCGCGGTAAAACGCGTGTTTTTTTGAAACACTGCTTATAGTTTGCTTCTCTTTTAAAATTTTAAATGTCTTTGTAGGTTTATTCCGTTATTTTAAAAATATTTAGGATGTTTAGCTGTACCTCTATCAACTCTACGAGTAAAGAGCAAAAAACAAAGCCCAACAAAACAAAGGAAACAATAAAAATATTGCACAAAGTAAATTTAAATTAATTTTTGATCTATCTTATAGTTTATTTATTGGTCTATCTTGACTTTCCGCGAATTATTTTCTATCAGATAAAAGAATTTCCCCTAAAGGAAAATATTTATACCCTTCCTAATCTTTTAACTTTATCCCGTTTAATTGCGGGACCGATCATTGGCTCATTTATCCTAAAAGAAGAATATAAAATAGCATTAGGAATTTTTATATTTGCAGGATTCACTGATCTGGTAGGAAAATAAGAAATCATATAATTCTTTGATGATGGTACTCTGTAAACAGAATTTTATTTTTGTGTATATTTTATTAATGAATTTTTACCAGCTAGATGGTGTCATCGCAAGAAGATACAATATGAGAACAATGTTAGGAACGGTCATGGATCCAGCGGCGGATAAGACGCTCATGACTGTGATGACAATCACTTTGGCGATGAAAGATTTGCTTCCATGTAAACTTTAAACTCTTAATGTTCAGATTATCGATTATATAGTGATCATAATCTTATTCAAGCACAACAAGCATGACCATTTAATTATTGCATAGTTCCATTGGCGGCTGTGATTCTTGGGCGTGATGCTGGTTTAGTTTTGGCATCATTTTATTATCGTTATATTTCTTTGCCACCACCAGTAAGAACTTTTTTATTTTTCAAATTTAATTTTCTATACTTGAAAAACTTTAACTTAAATAAATATTATTTGGATCGATTTAATTTTTTTGCAGAAAACATTGTCAAGATATTTTGATTTTTCTATTCCGTCGGCTGAAGTGCGACCCACTTTTATCAGCAAGGTTTGCATCAGATGTCATTAATTTATTAAAATTCAAAGAATAATAACTTTAATTACAGATCAATACTGTACTACAATTGGCTCTTGTCGGTGTAACGGTTGCATGCCCTGTCCTTGAATGGAATCACGCTCCAGCACTCACAGCTTTACAGTATATATTTTTGTATCATGATTTATTTGTCTGATAATGCTTAATTCTTATTAATTTTTACATAAAGGTACACTGTTGCCGGAACTACAGTATTATCTGGACTAAGCTATGTTTTCTCCAAAGATGCTGTTCGAATATTAAAACGTCCATCACCTTCCTCTCGGTAATAATGATTATATAGAGACCTAAAGCTGTTAATTCATCCATAGCAGGTATTGAATTGTGATGATCAATCAATCTCTGAATAATTCTCCCGATGTAATGCTTCCACGTTTACGCGGTGTAATAATTTATTAATGCGGATAAAGATACATGGGGAAAGATTTTATTATCTTACAATAATTACCTTTTGTAATTTAGACTCCACCCTTTTTAATATACAGCAATCAAAAAAAATACAGTAAAATTGATGAAACCATTTTCAATAATTTTTTATTTTTATGATCACGATTTATGAGATTTAGTAATTTAATAATATTGTTTTTGACTTTAAATATAAAATCACATAATAACGATAATCTATATCGATATTACTACATAAATTTATTTCTTGTATTTTAAAGAGCGTTATGCACCGGTTTATCTCGAAATCGTTAATATATTAGCAGATTATTCTAAAATAGGAATATTTCAGCTAAATCTGAAAAAAAATAATCTAACAAGAAAAAGACGTGTATTGGAAGAGCGAACAAGCTTTATTTATTTATTTATAACTAACGTGCGTAATCAAAAATAATACCGCATTATTATTATTCGAAATTCGCTCGCGTGTATACATTTAATTCCATAATTGGAAATACGTAATAAAGTTGTGTTATCTATTATCGTTAAATAAATCCATACCATACCGATACATTATTTTATAAGTCATATAGTCTATCAAAGTCAAATATAAAGAACTAATTAACCAACCATATAGCATGCTGCGATTTGGAGTTACATAACAACCCTCCTCTATAAAGCCATTCTTCTTAACGATAACGATAACGATAAGAATTTTTGCCGTGAATTTCATTTAGCAGAAAAAATAATTGGTTTTACTAAAATTAAGGTTTAAATTTATACGGTAACACACAGCGGTTGTATTACTATTACAATGTATTTAGACATAATAATAATTCTTTACACCCTTTTTCCCCCTTATTCCTCATAAAAGATGGCCTCCCATTCTTTGGATATATATGTAAAGGGAACAAAAGTTTGGTTTCCTGACGATAAAGAGGGATGGATAAGTGGAGAGCTCATAACCAAGGACTTGACGGATGATCAAGTAAAACTCTCTTTTAAGACAGAGCATAACAAGGTAGTTAGTCAAATTATACTTAGATGGAACAGTTAGTTTCTTTACACTATTTACAGTTTGAGTAAAAGTTTTTGGCTTATTTCTCTTAACCTCTACCAGGTTTATTAGTAGTGGTCTTCCACGATACTCATCTCTCGAAAAACCATATAAATATAGACAACTAATTAAACTTGCTTTGTATTTTAGGAAGTTGTGGTCGCCAGTACCTTAACAAAATTAAAAGCCTCAAATAATGCTGACTTACCACCTCTCCGTAATCCTCCGATGCTGGAGGCTGTAGATGACTTGACCAGTCTTAGTTATTTAAATGAGCCAGCAGGTAAGCTGATTTTCGGAATAAGTATTTAAATGCGTTCAACGACAAATATCAAAATATTTACTGATTATAAATTTGACAAATCATAGTGCTTCATACGATCAAAACGCGTTATCTACAGCGTAACATTTATACTTACTCCGGAATTGTCTTAATTGCAACAAATCCTTTCCAAGCTGTAACACTATACTCGCAAGATGTCGTTCAGGCATATTCCGGAAAACGACCTGGTGAATTGGAACCACACTTATTCGCTATTGCTGAAAATGCTTACCGTCGCATGCTCAGCGATGATAAAAATCAAACAATTGTTGTATCAGGCGAAAGGTTTTATCCTATCTAATTTTGTCAGCATGAATGTGTAAAAAAAATTTATTATTTACTTATTTCTCCGTTAATTTATTTTTTATCTATAGCGGTGCAGGTAAAACTCAAAGTGCGAAATATATTATGCGGTATTTTGCTTCTGTTGATGATAAGGATAGACCAAATCGTAAAAAAGTCACCAATGCATCTGGCATGAGTGAAGTGGAGGAACAAATTTTGGGTAAATATTCTTAATTTTTCTAATTTTTTTCCGAATCAAAAAATTTATCATATCATCAATCTTTAATTTCTAGCGACAAATCCTATTATGGAGTCTTTTGGTAATGCTAAAACCACACGAAATGACAATAGTTCTCGTTTCGGAAAATATCTTGAGGTACCTGATTTATACGCATCATTTTATATTATATTTATCTATGTATTTAATGAAAGAGTTAATGATAAATATTCAATATATGAATTCATGCTTAGATCCAATTTGACAAAGACACAAATATTATTGGTGCAAAAATTCGAACTTATTTATTGGAGCGGTCAAGATTAATATATCAACCAGAATCGGAGAGAAACTATCACATATTTTATCAGGTACAATTAAGTTTACAATATGATTGTTAATGCATATCATCAAAAATGACACTAAATTATGTGAGTATAAAATAGCTTTGTGCGGGCGCACCACATTCAGAGAAAAAGAATCTCGAACTTGGAGATTATAAACAATTTCATTACTTAAAACAAGGAGGATTTGGAACGATCCCCGGAGTCGATGATGCTCAAGAATTTGAAATGACGCAAAAGGCATTATCTGTAATTGGAATTACCATTGAAATGCAATGGCAAATCTTCAAATTATTAGCTGCTCTTTTACATCTGGGAAATATTCAAATTAATGCACAACGTGAGAAAGCCGTTCTCCCGGATAATGATCCAGCACTTATAACAGCTACAAAATTATTGGGCATTAAGAAAACAGAATTTAGTAAATGGATTGTCAAGAAACAGATTGTTACTCGAACTGAAAAAATTCCCACGGACCTAAGTGCGCAACAAGCAACCGTCGTTAGAGATTCTGTCGCTAAATATATTTATGCTAACCTTTTTGATTGGTTGGTTAATATGACTAACGAGTGTTTGTCTGGTGAAGAAGTCGCCAAAAATGTCACAACTTTTATCGGTGTTCTTGATATTTACGGTTTCGAACATTTTAAGAAAAATTCATTTGAACAATTTTGCATTAATTATGCAAATGAAAAATTACAACAACAAGTATGAATTTCTCTGTCTATTATTATGCATGCTTCTGAATTATATTTTCTCCTGACTCTTTCGCGTCTCTCTATCCACTTAATATAAATTTGACAACCAAAGTTCAATCAACATGTATTTAAATTGGAACAAGAGGTAAAAAATTCTTTATCTGTAGAATCATGAATATTATCAGTATTATTATCTATCTAAAATAATTTATTTGTTTTTAGGAATATGTTCGCGAGAAAATTAATTGGACATTTATTGAATTTAGTGATAATCAACCATGTATTGACATGATTGAAGGGAAATTGGGTATTCTTTCATTATTGGATGAGGTAAATTATACAAATGATTTTTTACATTCTTGCGTAAAACTATTAATCGAAATAAAAAACGATATATTTTATATTTTTATAGGAAAGTCGATTACCAGCCGGAACTGATACTACTTGGGGAAACAAACTATATCAAACTTTTCAAACACCTACATATAAAAATTATTTCCAAAAACCACGGTTTTCCAATACCTCATTTACAGTTAGTCATTATGCGCATGCTGTGACATATGAAGTTGAAGGATTTTTAGAAAAGAATCGAGATACTGTGCCTGATGAGCACTTGACTCTTTTAAAAAGCACTGAATTCGAATTTCTTGAGGATGTCCTTACAAAAGGAGCAATTCCTGCTTCACCGACAAAGGTAGGATTTTTATTGAACATATACTTGATTCAATTAATGTTGACCATATATTTGGACAAATTATTAGACTGAAGGGAAAAGAATATCTGGTATCGCAAAGAAACCAACACTTGGATCCATTTTCAAGGTAAGACAGAATTTAGTATAAATTAACCATTTGTAATCCTTATTATTTTTTATATATATATATCTTGTATATCTTCATACTAGGGATCTTTAATTAACCTTATGGAAACTATTAATTCTACTAATGTTCACTATATCCGATGTATTAAACCAAATGAAGCCAAAGTTGCATGGAAATTTGAACCTCCGATGGTTCTTTCACAATTACGTGCTTGTGGTGTATTGGAGACTATTCGTATCAGTTGTGCTGGTTATCCAACCAGATGGACATTTGACGAATTTGTTAAAAGGTTCTTTTTTTTTATCTTCTTATTCGCTAGTCTTTAATTATAAATTCTGCAAAATTTACTTTTTTTCATTTTTTGCAGATTCTATATGTTGGTTCGATCTCAATATTGGTGTCCAGAACCACGAAAGTTATGTTCTATTATTCTTGATGCCTCAATTAAAGATCAAGATAAATATCAAGTTGGCGAGACGAAAATTTTTTTCCGTGCTGGAATGGTACATAGTATTCTCCTTTATCATTAATACTATTGATTTTATTCATTATAATTATTAATTAATTCTTAATTATATTTTTAGCTTGCATTTCTGGAAAAACTTCGTTCTGATAGACTGAATGAATGTGTCACTTTAATGCAAAAGAACATGTTAAGACACATGCATCAAAAGAGATATCAGGCCATGAAAGCATCTGCCATCAAAATACAATCATTATATCGTAGACGATTGGCCATGAAAAAACTCAAAAAACTACGAGAAGAAAAAGCTGCTATCACTATTCAAAAATATTGGCGAGGATACGTTCAACGTAGACGATACTTACGATCTAAACGCGCAATATATAGACTACAAATTGGTAATATATCTATTATCATCATCATTATGATGCTTGCCAATGTTAAAAGTTCTGTAAAAATTCTAAATTTGCATCATTGAAATAATAGCTATTCGGAGTATTTTGGCTCGTATCAAGTATGAGAAGCTTCGACGTAATGCTGCTGCGATTAAAATTCAAAAAGTTTATCGCGGAAGGTAATTAAGTCCATTTTTAATTGACGATAATTGTATCTTCTGTTTTAATTTTCTTTTATTAATTCTTCTCTCATAAAAAAGCACTGTCCGACGTGAATATAAGAAGACACTTAAGAATATTATCTTTGTTCAATCTTGTTTACGTCGACGCTTAGCACGAAAAGAACTCAAGAAGTTGAAGATAGAACAGAGTTCTGCTGCTCACTACAAAGAAGTTTCATATAATCTTGAAAATAAAGTTATTAAACTTCAACAAAACTTGGATCAGAAATCTCAAGAATATAAAGCGCTTGAAGTAAAACATGCAAATCTCGAAAATCAAGTTCGTATTTGGACAGAAAAATATGAGAGACTTGAAGCAGATGCAAATTCCCATAAACAAACAAGAGAGACAACTGTTTCACTTAATGAATTTAAATCACTTCAAACAGAAAAAGAAACTCTTGAAACTCGATATAGAAATTCTTTAGATAAAATTAAGAATCAAGATACTGAAATAAATCGCCTATCAGCTGAACTCAGTAAGAAGGACGATGAAGTCACGAAACTTCGAGCGGCTACAGCCAAGTATAAAGGAACAGAAGACCCAGCTACTGTTCTTGCATTAAAGGTTGAAATAGCCAGCCTTAAAGAACAATTAACAAAGGTTAAAAATGTTCGAGGAACATCTCCTCCACCACCAAATCAACGTCAAGAACGGCAAGAACGGCAAGAAAATGGCTTTTTGACTGCTGCAAATTCCGCCAACACTCTTAAACCACCAGCGCAAAAACGAAAGGCCCGTAGACACAGTTCTGCTGAATCTTGGGGTCCACAAGAACTTGCCAAACGTAAACCTAAAACTTCTATGGATCTAATGATGGCCGAAGCTAAGAACAAGCCAGGATTCCGACCTGTTTCTATATCATATGCCTCCCATGTGCCAAAAATAATACGCCCAGCAGGAGGACGCATATTGCCTGACGTTGAAGATGATCCAGAGTACGAGGTAAATTGTCGAATATAATATTTCAATTTTATGTTTCCGTATTTATTATATAAATAATCTATATAATCTATATACTCGTAGATCATGAAAATCTTGGAAGATGAAGAAACTCTTACTGAAGAAGTAATTAATGGATTGATAAAGACTTTGAAAGTTCCTCTTCCAAGTTTGCAAAACCCTCCGTCACAAAAAGAAATACTTTTCCCCGCTCGTCTTATTAGTCTTTTAGCCCAACAAATGTGGAAATATGGATTTATAAAAGATTCCGAAAAATTATTTGCCAATGTGATGAAAACAATTCAAAATCATGTGATGGTAAGTTAAATAGCTATTTAGTTACTTGAACAGTATGTAAACAAATTAAATTTAATCGGCTGTATTTTCAATATAGGATTTTCAAGGAGAAGATGCAATATTACCTGGTGCTTATTGGCTATCTAATGTACATGAACTATTGTCATTTGCAACTACCGCCGAGAAAGATATGTTGCGAGGAGTTAATCCAGCAACTGAATCATCTGGGCGAATCTTTGAATGGCATGACTACGAAAGACTTGTTTCAATAGTTAAACATGATTTAGAAAGTTTAGAATATAATATCTATCATACATGGATGAAAGAACTCAAAAAACGTCTATTTAAAATGGTTATTCCTGCTGTTGTTGAAAGTCAATCATTGCCTGGATTTATCACAAGTGAAAATCGATTTATCACCAAATTTATAACAGGACAAAGTTCTCCAGCATTCAGCATGGATGATTTACTTAATTTCTTGAACAAAGTATGGAAGGCTATGAAGTCATATTATGTAGAGATGTCGGTGATTCAACAAGTTGTCAAAGAATTATTAAAACTTGTTGGAGTTACATCTTTCAATGACTTATTAATGAGGTAAATTCTATTCACTTTTTTATTCTCTTTATCTAAATTATTTTTCAATACATCTTTTTTTCTAATTTTAATTTTAATTTATTCCTTGTCAACACGACAGACGTAATTTCTGTTCATGGAAAAGGGGTAAATTCAATTACTATATTCAATCTAATAATAAGCGTATCGCAAGTATTTAATGATTTAATTCTTATATTTTCATTATTAGCTATGCAAATTCAATATAATATTACTCGGATTGAAGAATGGTGTAAGAGTCATGATATGCCGGAAGGAACTCTTCAACTTGAGCATCTAATGCAAGCCACCAAACTTTTACAACTTAAAAAGGTAAATTTTTTTTCAACCTCTTGATGCTTGCTTTTAAATTTTTATTGATCATACCTATAATCTATTCAATAGGCCACATTAAGTGATATAGAAATTATTTATGACGTCTGTTGGGTGCTGACGCCAACACAAGTTCAAAAGCTTATTAGTCATTACTTTGTTGCCGATTACGAGGTAAATTATCAATCGTTAATGATGTTAAGGTCGAATAAGTTTTTTTGCTTAGCTTAATTTTCCGTTCTTATGTTTCAGAATCCAATCAGCCCCGAAATTCTCAAAGCTGTTGCCAGTCGTGTAGTGGCAAATGATAAGAGCGATATTTTATTGTTGGATACAACTCCTTTAGAAGATTCTGGGCCATTTGAAGTTCCAGACCCTCGAGAGGTCCAACCTGCTGAAAATTATTTACCTGCATGGTAAGCTTTTTCTTTATATTGTATTTCTAAGTATATTTCTAAATCATTTTTCGATTTTAATTATGAACGATAAATTATTGTAAAATATTTATTTTTTAGGTTGAATTTGCCTCATGTTAAGCGTCTTGGAAGTTTGTCTGTTTAACTATTTATAACTTAATGGAAGATAGCAAATGGGTAAACGTGTAAATTATTTTAATCATTTTATGGTTATGCATATACGCATTTGTGAATTTGTATAATAATTTTGGGATTTCAAATACCAATCAACTTGCAATTGAAAATATCCATCACATTAGATGTGTTTTGTTAGTAATTTATATTCTTCAATCAATTAATGCAAGCCAAAATGACTTGATCGATTTAATTTTCTTTGAATCCTCGATTTATTTTCTTTCAATTTTATTTTAGAGTCATAAATAATTTATCGATTAAATATAATTAGAACCTCGAATTCATATTCAAACACCATTTAAATAATAATTATTTTAGAAAATACTCTTACATTATAACTTATATAGGAACCCTTAACGATAACAATTGAGAAATTTTAATTGAGATCGCGTCTTGGAGGTTAGTTACCACAGATGATCTTTATTGTTATGGAGTGTATCTTATATCATGTATATAGATAGTTCTAGCAAAAAAATTCAATCGAGTATTTATTTACAGAATTAAAAAAATTAACTTATTTAAATGCACATATCGATATCTTTTCCAAATAAGCTAAATAACTAATATTTAATGTAAAAAAATACGATCCCACAGAAAAGGTTAAGCCACAACACGTGATCCTCCGGGAAAATTCTATGTCAACATAGTGCAAGCAATCTAAAGCCATCTAATACTTTAAGGCTTTGTATCCAAATACTTTAATCACAGAAAAATTACGTTGTTAAATACCTTTTAATAAGAGCTATAAAATAACGTATTTTTTTTTAATAGAAATTCATTAAAGCCAGGTAATATCATGTGATATATAATTCGATCCGAATTATATCATGTGATTGAAATTATATAAAGTCATGATTGGCTGATTATCAATAATAGAGATTTGTTAAAGCTGTGTAATTACACATGATTTTTAATTCGATTCGAATTGCAACCATGTGATCAAAATTGAATAGCCAATAAAAATATTATATAGTGTTGGCATATCAACAACAATATACTTTATAAAGATTGGATCTGGATGTGTATTATCTGGATCATCCATGAGTGGGTTGAATATCTGGATTGCAATTATGATCATCCAGATATAATAATACAAATCAATCATTTTTTTGCTAATCAAATAAAATTAATTTGATCTAATTAAGTAAGGATGATCTGGTTAATTAAGGATGATCTGAATATTTATATATACAATTAATCATTCAGATGATCTGAGTAGTTGCATATTATTAGCTAAAATAGAAATATGTTCATAGTTTTTTATTTATACAGTTAGATTATATAAATTTTACTGATTGTCTATAATGACATTTCTTACTGTTATACAAATAAAAAAATAATCAGCAAAATATATTTCCAATGGAAATGTTCAGGAAAAAATCAAAAAAAATAATGATATTAATATATATTGTTACTGATTTAATATTGTTAATAATTTAATATATAAATACATAAATAAAAGATGCAGTCATGTTGAAAATTAGTTATGATGATAATTAGATTATGTATTTAGTTCAATAATATTCTACTTCTTTTTATTTCTTTCTATTTTTTTATTTTTCTTTTTTGTATCACTTATTTTTCTATATTTATTTCATTGTTATCTTTATTTGAATATATTAATCACATCATTTTCTTGATAAAATTTATTATTTTCTATATTTAATTTAGCTTTTATTTTTTATTTTTGCTATTGGTATTTTAGTGTAGAATAAGATTATATAGTTAAATTTTGTGTAATTTAGAAGAGAATCAATAATTTTATAATATTAATATAGATCTATTGTGTCACATACTGTGATTATTATGTCACATTGTATCACTATAACATGAAAATATGTATAAATACATGCTAATAATTAATAAAAATTAAGTTCTTTAGATTTTATTTAAGTTTTCAAGTTCTAAAAAAGTTTAATTTAAGATTCTTTTAGTTTGGTTTTAAGTTTCTTTTGGTTTAAAGTTGAATTTGACATGTTAAATTAATTTTATTTTGAATTTAGAAGTAGTTTTTGGTTAAGTTTCCTTTTAGTTTAGTCTTATTATTAGTTTAGTTTTATTATCATTGATTTTAGCTTGTCAAGAAATATTATTATATTATTATAAATATTATTTAGTTATAAAATTCAAAGTAAATTGCTATAAATACAGTTACTATTGTTATTTTGAAATACTTTCATATGCAAAAGCTCAAAATGATAACAATATCAATATTATAATATAATTGAGTGATCTGATTATTATTCCTAATTGATTAATTATATTATTAATTATATCTGAATTAGTCAATTAATTATAATTCTTAATTATATCTGAATTAGTCAACTAATTATTCAACTTATTTTCTAATCAATTAATTATAATTATCAATTATATTTGAATCAAACTGATTATGAATCAAATAATTCATATTACTATTTAGATAATCAACTTGTAGTATTAAATTCTTTAATTTTATAATTTTTACTTCTAATTTATATATAAATATTTTTTCATACTTTTCTATGTAATAATCATTTCAAAATTAGTTTCTTGTATAAGTTCTATTATAAATCAAATTTAGAAATATTTCATTAGAAATGAATATTACTTTTTTTTATTATTTGTTTATATTATTTTACAAATATTTCATCATTTTTTTAATATTAATATATGTAATTAATAATTATTGAGAGAATAACAATTTCAACAATTATCTGAATAATCAAGAATATTAAATAATTATTAACATATGTAATAATAATGATTATTAAAAAAAAAGATAATTAAAGAACATTAAACAATTAATACTTAACTGTGTTAAAAAAATTATCAATATAAATTACTAAGCTTAGAATTAGTATAAAATTAGCATAATGCTAATAATATATAATAATAAAAGATTTTTTTACTTTTAATATCAATAGTTATATAAGAATATGAGAGTAAGGTTGCTTGCTAAAATTCTTTAATGATTGCTGAAATTTTGTCAAAATTATAATAAACTATTAGTAAATAGTTTATTAAAATTCTGAAATTCATCATAACTGAAATTATACTGAAATTCTAATTAAAAATTAGTATATAACTCACTGAAATTATAATAATATTTTTCTGAAAGAGTTTAAACAAATATTCTTATGTGAAAAAAAGCAAATTAGAATAAAATAAAATTAATGAAAGCAAAGATAAATATTTAATATCTGTGCCAATTTTTTACAGAAATTGTTAAACAATTTTATATATAAAAAATAAAGAGTTTAAGAAAGTGAAATAATTAAAGAAAAACTATTATTTTTATTAATTTAAAAATTATTGAAATTAATGAATTAACAAAGTAATATAATAGTAAAAGAACAAAAACTAAATGATTTACAAATAATTGAATTCACTATAAGTTTTAAAGATTTTTTGTAGTAATTTCTATATAAATTAACTAATTATTAACAATAAAGAATAAAAATGATAGAAAATTAAAGTAAAAATATAAAAGAAATTAAAAAAATTAATAAATAATTAAAAAGTGAATAATAAAACTTATTGATGATTTTTAATGAAATAAACTAACAATTAGACTTATTGAGATTACCAATTACAAAATATAAACTAAAATAACTAAAAATAATCAAGTAGAACTTATTGATATAATCTAAAAATAATAAAACTAAATTAAGTAAAAGTAATAATATTGTTATATTTATTTTCAAAAATTTCTTAATTAATGAATCTTTTAAAAATATAAAAATCTCTAAAAATAATAACAAAACAACAAATTGATAAAAATAGTTTATATATATTAGTTATTTTATTTAGTAATCATATAATTATTATTATTTATCATTTTTAATTTAGTATTTTTTACTTTTTCTATCTTATTTTCTATCTTTTCTATCTTTACTTTCTACCTTACTTTCTATCTTTTTTATCTTTTCTGCCTTTACTTTCTATTTTTTTATCTTTTCTATCTTTTTTTATATATTTCTTTCTATAATTTTGTAATGTAGATAATATTAAAATATATTGAGAAATTTTATATAAATAGGAGTGCTGTCTTAGCATTTTTCTCTTATACTTCAAATAAATTAAAAATTTTAATCTTTAATACAATAAGTTAATAATTATCTTATTAATATTTATTCTTGTATCTTCTTTTATCAAATCAAATTGTTTGGCAAAAATAGTTTGTTAATTGAATTTCAAATCTTGTAATTCAAGTTGTTTTTTATTAATTTTGAGCGAGATCAAGAAATCAAATATTAATTTGTATAGAATTGAATTTTTGACTATTATATTTTTGTCTTTAAATTTAAAAAAATGGTTAAAGTAATTTTTAAATAAGCATATTGATTTGCTATAGTATTAGTTTTGTATAATTATGCATTACAATTTTAAATAAGTGATATTGAATTGTATAATTATGCACTATAACTCTAAATAAGTGATATTTCTTTTAGTAATTTATTTTTTTTAGTATTGAAAGCACTAAAATATGTGACTACAAATATAGAAATATTAATATCTTTATTTTTAGTTAGTAATTCCTATTAGTTAATTACTTTTTTGAACATACTCTTCCAACTAAAAATAATTTTCTAAATTATTTTTGAAAAAAATAGTATTTTGGCAAATAATTTAGTTTTGCTATATTATTTATATTAATGAATACTTAAAAATTATCTAGAAATACTTGTTTTAGTTTGTAAAATTCAAATAATTTTAGAAAACAATTTTGGCTACTAATAAAATAAGTCAAAATAATTTCAGATTTAATTTTAGCAAGTTAATTTCAGCAAATTATTTAATTAAATAATGTCATTTTGGTAATCATTCTTACTCCAAATCTTTTTTTTTACCTTTTAATAGAATTGTTTAACAATTTCTATCAAAATTGATACAGGTTTAGATATTTATTTTTGCACTGACCAATTTTATTAGTTTATTTTTCTCTCCTAATCCATATGACTCTTTTACCAAAAGTGAAGAAACTCTTTATTTAAAGTAATTGTAGCAATATCAATAACTTATTTGTAATTCTAAGATAAAAGAAAAATTCTAATTGTTAAATTAATTATTATATATAGTCAAATCTTTCTATAGTCACATTCATTTATAGTCATATTTTTCTATAATCACTCTAGTTTGCTTTTCTATTTACATATAAATATAATAAAAAAATCTCTCTATAGTTACATCCTTTTTATAATTATCAAAATTTGCTTTTCTAAGAGTAATGACTATAAAAAAATTTAATTGTATAAGATTATAATAAATTTTAATATTTTTGCATAATATTATATAATTTATACTATTTGATACTATATAACAATTTGTATTTTAATAACAAGTTTAAATTTGGTATACAGTCAAACCTCTCTATAGTCACACCCGTTTATAGTCACATCTCTCCATAGTCACCCTATTTTGCTTTTTCATTTACATATAAACATAGTAAAAAAAATCTCTCTATAGTCACCAAATTTTGCTTTCCCAAGGGTGGTAACTATAGAGAGATTTGACTATATATGGAATGGAGTTAATAAAAAAGAGAAAAATTGATAAATTTATAATTTTCTAATAATTGAATTTTTAATTCCAATCATTTTTTATTTTTACATTAAAATGAAGATAATATTACATATTTTAACATATATTTTTTAGATTTAATTTGATAAAGTTATTCTAATTGCATATAAAATCAATTATGTTTTAATTATAAAAAAAATAATTGACTTTATATACAATTAGAACAGCTTTATCAGATTAAATCTAAAAAATCTGAAAAAAATATATGTTAAAATATGTGATATTATCTTCATTTTAATGTAAAAATAAAAAATATTTATTAGTAAAATTAAAAACTTTTATATAAAGAGAAAAATCCATATTTTACTATATTTAATTAATAAATTTTGACATTGTTGCATTATTTCTGATTGTCACTAGCAAAAACTCATTTTTGAAAAAAACTGATTTGTTTCTTTTTTACTGACTTTCTCCCATATATTCTTTAAACTATAAATTTTCAAAAAAAATCTGATATTATTATATTTAGTTTTAAAATATTAGCTTTATAAGGTATATATTTTATATTTTATATATTAATTGTTTATATATCTTATGGATCTGCACATAACATCAAAAGCATATGTTCCAAATTTTGTGATATTTGTATTTTTTGTTGGCTTGCTATTAAAATGCAAACTGTTCGAGAAATAAATCAATAAGAATGCGTAAATTTTTGATCAACTCGAATCTTTAACACTGTGATAGGCTTTAGCCACCCCCCAAAATCCCAAAAATAGGAAATTACACAGAAAATCTTTGGACACCCTCAATGTCTTGTGACTACACGTGGTTTTGTTGTTTGTCAAACTATATTTTTAATTCTTATGTATTTTGTTGAGGTCGGCCACTGCTTTAAACTATTCTGTTAAATTCGCGCTTCCTTTACTTAATGTATCTACCATTTACGCTTGTAGTCGCTTGTTAAAAGTTAGAAGAGTTTTGTTTATCTTAGCTAAAAGCCAAAAAACGACCAAATAATGGCATTAGATCGCGAAACACCCCAAAGCTTGAGGAACTACCTTGCCTCGGATCCCTGGACCTTCCAAAACACTTCAAGCCAAACTATCAATCAGTCTTTTCTTAGAGGCTGTTATCAAGAGTGGCAGACCTATGATTCGGACACAAAATTGGCTTTGTTACTTTCTCTTTTAGGTATAAAAAAGATCCACTTACCTAACTTAGAACAAATATTAAAAGAGGTATAAAGTTTTTTCTGCTTATTATTTGCTAGAGCAGATATTAAAATTCTGATTATCATAGAATTAGGTCACGCATTTCGGGATTATACCAAAATGCAGTATCAAGTCGTTTTTCTTGAATGTAAATCAAGATATATATTGATAGTCGCGTATAAAAAGCAATTGTGACAATAATTGAAATAAAGTTTTTAATTTTCTTTATACAATTTATATATTATTATTAATTTGTAGATAATACGGGCTGGTCTTTCTGATACTGATGAGTGGGTGCAACTCATTTCTAAAATGCTTGCTGATTTCCCACGTACCGGAACGCTTAATTTCGACATTGAGAATATTATTCCTCTGGATACGCAACCTGTTTACCAACAACTGAAGAAGACAAGTGAATATTTTGTTTTTGTATAAATTTGTTATATTCTGTAAACAAATATAAATTGAATTTTATTCTTTTTAATGGGATATACAGTAAAACAAAATGTGATCAAATTCCATCCTTCAGAATACGCTTATATAAACCGCGATATTTGTGATACTTTCTCATCATTGTCATTGAATTCCGATTCCGATAATTCTTCAGTTGTTTTACATTTTCAGCTTAATCAGACATATCTAGCTCCTAGGACTAATAGGTTGTCATTATTGAGAAATCAGCAGTCAATTGCGAATATGGATTATATATCAAATTCTGCGTCATCCCAATCTTCAAAAACTCCAGCAGCAAATCCTTCCCTTTTTATTCCAAAGCAACGAAGATCTTCGCAAGTATTATTAAAAACACCCTCTAACACTCTCCCACAAAGACCAGCTCCTATAAATACTGCAAGAGGTTGGTTATCTTTACAGCAGCTTTGCATTACTTCGTAGTTTATTTAGATCACTAATAATTAGTTCTTATTCCCATTCATAGCGAACAGTAGTGGACATGTCCCTTCTTTAGGATCATTAAATGTAGCTGAATCGCCAACAGACATAACAACAGGCAAAACTTTCCAGAAACCAACAAGAATACAAATGCTTGATGTGGTCGAAGGTACTTCAATAATCAAAAATCAACAAGAATCTTTATTAAAAACTCAGCAAGGTAATTAAAAATCTTCTCAATATTTTATTATTATATTTTATTAATAATAATCTTTATATGCTTTAATAATTTTTTCAGAGGAGGCTCAAATGAAAGAAATAAAAAGAATAGAAAAAGAAAAAAGACAAGAAGAGAAACGGCTACAAAAAGAAAGAGAAACGGCCGATAGACTGCGCCAGCGAGAAGAGGCAAAGTACGCAAAAGAAAAGGAAAAACGAGAGAAAGCAGCCGCAAAACAAGCATCAGTATCTTCTACAAATGGATCAAACAATATCGGTAAGAGGGTATTAATTATTTATCTATAATAATAGAATATATTTTTATTAACCTAATTTATTAATTGCAGCGGCAGTTGGTTATCGGAAAAAGAGGAGGATAAACAGTGTAGTAGTATTGCGTTAAATTTTGTTGTTGATATTGACATTTTTTAGCTTCATTTAACTTGCTTTTTGAATGATTATTACTCCTATTTAGCCGATTCTTCGATACAAGAAGAACAATTTTCAGATGAAGATAATCTTCCACATAAGACAGCGGAAACCTCGAGTGTAGCTTCGCCTCTTTCATCTTCACATTCCTCATATATACAATCATCATCTATTCCACAACCACCACTACAATCACCTATATTCTCAGAACCTCGTCATAATAATCTCGGAATCATCCCTGAACATGAAATTATTGATACTCGATTAAATCCCCAAGCATTAAACTCAACACAAGATTCGACGACGATTAACACATCAGATAATTCTAACAATAATGATATTAGTGCACATATACGAGATGGTGTACTTAGTTTAACCAATGCATTAAAGGACGAAGACCGGCGAACTATATTAAATTTCTTGGATGGCAGTTATGGTAAAATATCTTTCAGATCTATATTTTTCTAATACTACCATTATTGTTATTTTTATTTGTAACTACCGAGTATTCAACAAGATTATTCAACAGATTTTTTATTTTGCTATTAAAGAACGACAGGTCGAATCTGGGGGTGGATCGAACGATGATATCAGAAGTATTTTGATGCATGTTGAACGAACGACAAATTACGAGGAAGGAAGAGAGATAATAGAATCGGTTGTTTTTGAGATGAATCTTACACAAGGTACCTGGCGAAAAATTAAAAAGAAAAAGACTAAAAGAAATGCCTTTTATGACGGGTTAAATGGCAAATCTACCGGAAATGATCATTTGGAAGACTAGCAAAAGGGTTCATTAGGGGATAGATAATTCAAATTATGAGAACTATATATCCGCCAAATCCAGTCAACCAAAATTTTTTAATATGAAGACAAAATGTGTTATAATAACACAAAATTCAATACTTTACAAAGAATTATCTTAAAGATACAAATCTATTTTCGCCTGCTTGCTTTCTTAATAAACTACTTGATGCGAGTTGTCCTGTATATTATAGTGACCAGCAAAAAAAAAACGCATCATCCCTGAAATTTTCTGGGATGTTAGATCTCGAAATCTTTAATATTTTTAAAAATACATGTTGCATTGGTTAATTCGTGATCCAGATGCGGATCTGTGAAAATTTACTATATATAGTGGCCCGCATAAATAAAATCTCTGAAAAGAAAATTCTTTAATATTTATAATAAAAAAGATTTAGTAAAAAAGAAAAATATACTTTTATATCCATTTTTATTTATATTTCTGCTGTTAATGTGAACTCTTAAATAAGTGCAAAGACTCAATTGATATCAACCATTAACAAAATAATATTTGTTTATTATTTGTTTATTCATTTATGAGAAAATTCTAATTAATAATCAGTTAAATAATTATTTATCCATTTTTATCATATTTTTTTTATATAAAAATATTTTAGTTCTCAATAATTTATTATTATTATTTTATTATATTTGATACAAAGCAAAAATATAAAAAAGATAGCAATTACAAAAGAAAAAGCAAATACAGGAAATATAGAACTTTCATTAAAAAAATAAAATATCTAATATGTGTCTGTTTTACCTTTCTCTATTTCATCTTTATTCTCTCTATCTTTTTCTATATAATTTTTTTTTCTTATTGATCTTTTATTTATTATTATTATTATTATTATTATTATTATTATTATTATTAAAAATTTCATAATTACTTAATTTTTATATCAACAAAAATTAAAATATATTACAATATAAATTAATATAAATTAATATAATCAAATTAATTTGTCCCTTTATTTTTACATTATATTTTATTGCACAATTATATTTAATATATATTATTATTTTTTTAATATTTGTATTATAATACTTAATAACAATCATATTTTTTGTTTTATTTTCACTTATTGTTTTCATTTATATTTCTATTATGCTTATTTTTATCTTTAATTTCATCATTTTTATCCAATTATTCTTATATTTATTTTATTTTTCACTTTTATTACAATTATTTTTTTTATCTCTTAATTTTTTATTATAATTATCTATAATCAAGTTTATATTATTATTTTTTTCTTTATAATACTTCTTTTTACTTAAACTTTGCTTTTCTTATTTTTAATCACTAGAATTATAATTAATTTTATTTTTAATAAATTTGTATAATTTTTCATTTATTTTTCAGTGTTTATTCTCCTTTTATATTATTACTATTTCATCTTTTATTAGTTTTAACATATATTTATTATCAAAAATGCAATAATATTCTTTCTACTATTTTTTACTTCTTTTCTATATTTTATATTTTTCTTTTATTTTTATTTAATAGCAATAATTTATATTTTTATTCAATTATTCTTCATTTTTATCATTTTATTATTTAATTAATCAATTAATTCATAGTAATTTTACATTAATTTATATTTTAAATCTTATTGGTATTTTATTTTTATTTCTTGTTACATCAATTTAATTAATGATATATAAATTTTATACAAATTTCTTTATAATATTATATAATAATTATTGTATTTCAACTAAGGATGCTTGTCTAAATCCTTTCAGAAAAATATCGTCATAATTTCGACGGGTTACACACTAATTGTTAATTA